CTGTATCGTCACGAACTTTGAGCGATGAAGGACGAGGGCCAGCTTCAGGGCGGAAAATGGCTCGCTGAGGTTGAAAGTACGTGCAGGAAGGACACTGACGATCGGCTGTGTGTCGTGAGAAGTACTGCCAAACGCTACTGCAATCGATCTCACCAGATCACTGCCTTCTTCGGCGGTTTCTTCGAGCCAGGCGATATGTGCGTGTACAGTCGGACTGGTCTTATCATAAGAGAGTCCGATCAGCGGCCCCGGAGCGCCAACGGCACGGCGATGGTATAGAGCACTGGTCAGCAGCGGGTGGATAGTGCACGCGTTCGCCACACAGACGTCAGTAGGGCCCTGCGGAACTGGACTCCTTGAATACAGAAGTTGTTGGGCGTATCCGTATTGGGTGACCCCGCTCATGTCGTCCCGGTCTCCAGATCTCTGCGTGGAAGCTAACATCAGTCTCTCCGTTTCTTCGCTCCAGGAAGTACACTCGCCATACTAACGTCCTCGACAAATGAGCCCGACGCCACTTCAGGAGTGTGTGCGTCACGAGCAGGCGACGTTGAGTTGGGATCGATCTGAGTTGGATTGTTTATCCGACGGATAACCAATTCCGCTCTCAAGCGAAGAGCCGGGGCGGCTTGCTCATCTGTTCCCGCAGGTGACTTCGACACTGCAAACATGACAGAGTCGCTGATGTTGGGTTAAAACTCAGCATCGCTCGTCCATTTGTACACGGAGCCTCGCTCACCAGTGCTCGTGGGTTTCGCGGGGAAAGCATTTGCGTAGGATGATGGAAAGCATCACAAGCACTTCCGGTAATACAATCCTCCGGTCGTCGTCGTTCTTTCGGTACCCGCGAACGGCCATAGACTGTCGCAAGACCAGCGCAAACATGCTTCGTAACAGTTCATGTTCTTCGGAACTAAAACACTCTTCCTGGGCAAACATGCTGCCGTCGGCGTAACAGATATGATTCATATAAAAGTCGCGTGTTTGTTCGCAGAAAGAGGAAGGATCCTGATGGACCTATCATTATGCGCGCAAGCAGGGTATGCTACACTGGCACGTACCTGCATCTGCACCCATGTAGGCAGGCGCACCGATTCTAGCACGTCTACAATGTGACGAACAGACAATGGAAGGGGATCCATAGCGCTTGATCAAGACAGCGTGAGCTCGCATATCAAGGAGTACAGAGATAACTACGGACTGAAAGTAAAACGGAGGCACACAAGACAACCACCAGTGGTCCACCACATCGCGATCGCGCGAGACGCGACTCGGGCCACGTGCAACCCACAGCCCAGTTATTGTCCAAGTTTCAGTCGATCGTTGTCCAGTAACTTCATCCTACCTACCACATCGCGTACGGAAACAGTTAGCGCGCTACCATGGATCTTGCTACAAGCTCGGATGACGACGAATCTCGGACTCGTGCTGGAAAGCGTCGTCGAGTGTCTCGCCGGCACTTCGCCACCGGCGCCGGCTGCTATACCTGTGCCACACCCTTCTACTTCCCCGACGGAGACATCGTCCTCAAGGTGAAGGTGCACATCTTTCTGGGCGTCACTGGCTATGCTGCTTCTCCTGGATTGACCGCGCCAGACGCGTCACAAGAGTGGCAGTTCTTCAGGATCCATCGGGAGCGGCTGTCGTATTCACAGGTATTCGCGGACATGTTGGATATACCCCAGCCCCCAGAAGCGGACATGCATGATGGATGTGCGGTGGTAGAACTGTACGATGATGCTCGAGACTGGATGGCCACGTTACGCTGGATGTACGACCCAAGGTAAGCTCTTCCAAGGTTCCACCCCGTCTGTCATGCTTTACCCCTAACTAAAACATTGCGCCTACAGCGTTCTCACCACCAATCCTGGCCTCGTTACTTTCGACGTCTTAGCCGGCTGCCTTCGCATATCTACAAAATACGACATTCCAGCCCTACGTGAATGGGGTATCTGCGAAATGCACCGGCGGTGGCCACCCAACGTCGAGGACATCAACTCCGGCATCTCGTTTCCGCACGCAGCGGAAGCCATAAACCTCGCGCGAGAAGTCGATGTTCCCGATGTCTTACCTGCCGCATTCTACTCATTGTCGCTCCAGAAGTGGCGTGCCAGCAGCGAAGGCGGCCGGTCACACATGATCCTTTCGCTTCACGATCTTAGGCGCCTTATCGTGGGCCGGGAGGCTCTCGAAGAGGTGACTCTGGGAATGCTACAGAACCCCTTGCCCTCTGAGGACCGGGTCTGCTCTGCATGCACACCAGGTCTTGAGCGTCTGTGGAGGGAGGCGCTCGGTCCGGAGCCTGATATGCCTTGGGTGCACGGATGCTGGCTTCTGCGGGCGTTGCGGTCGCTCACGAACTGGACTCCCCCAAGTGGTGACGCACAAGTATGCGCGGGATGCGCGGACTACAGCGCAAGTCTTGCCCACGTGCGTTTGCGGGAGGTCAAGCGCAGGATGGCACAGTGGTTTTTGCTGGAATGAGAAGTTTGCGAAGATGTAGAGTATAGTTAGCTTACTTTATCCTGATCTGCTCATAAGTATATTGCACTACCAGTTTGCCTGTCCCGACTTCGTAATGACCTATAATTCATGGAAGCGAAAAATCTTCTGCCCGATGCACTGCAGTGCTCTCCAGACCGCGGCTCCGGACCCGGTCCGGAGCGCGACGCGTCCATCACGTGATGGCGTTTGGCTCTCGGGCGTCCGTGTTTCCGTGTCGCGCCTCCTGTCCAGTCCCTGCTCCGACGGCGCATAACGGCATATGGTCCTCCGCTGTCGGATCAGCGCTCCATCTCTCGGAGTCATGCAAAATGATACATATTCACCCGCTTGTATCTCCTTGTCCTCAACTTTGACCGGTCTCGAGTAAACAATCATGCAAACCACCTTAGAGGTCACCGTCACCGCGGCACATCCCCACATGCCGTTACGAAACCCAGGGCATGACTCCCGAACTATCGCTCATGATCCCAGTGCACCAGTGCATTCGAGACGAAGGTCACCTAGGCTATCGATGACATTGGCCATACCAAAGGCGTTCTGGATATGTATAAAGTCTGATCGGGCGCGATTAATCCAACAATGGGTGATCATTCCAGTCGTTATCTTGGTGATGCTTGTCTATGTTTGGGCTGTGAACCTATTAATGGGTATGTATGTATATCCTATCGACATGCTTCTCGTAACTGACTACTCGTCCGAAGTTAAACTACCATTCACATTCCCAGCTAGCGTAAGTCGGCACATGCCCTGTCAACCTGGAAGCCAGTCTCAGGCGATCATTTTCCAGGTTGTGTGCATGCTCCTGACCTTCATTATCCTATCGTCGTGTTCCGCAATCTTCGGGCATCGGCGCGTAGCTCTACCCCTTCGATACTTGGAGCCAGCAGCGGATTTCTTGCTGAAGGTAAGCTCCGCGAACATAGTATCATGCAGCGTACTGACTTTCCGTCACGCAGTGGATATCTGTAACGTGTCTATCTGTCACTTAAACCTCCTTTGACTGACCTTGGTGATTTCCAGGTGTTTTTCTGTCCGTCTTTCATTCTATTGCCTCGTACGTCATATTCTCTCTCGAGTTTCGGGTGTTTCTGGTCTAATATTCTCCAGTTAACGAGAGGAATACTCGTATTGGCGGTCTGGAAATCGCGAAGATTATACTACAGTTCTTCGTCAGCTTCGTCGTTTTCGTACTGCTCGGTATGCATCTTTCCCCAATCACAGGCACAGGCACGGCACTGACGAGAATCCATAGCTTGGGCATTTGTCAAATTTCTACTGGCCATATCCCCAGTGCGCAAGATACGAGGATCCGACGAAACTATGGCGGAGATACCAGGAGAATCCATAGAGATGACAATGGCAGGAACGACGGCCATCGACAATGGGGGTCTTGCTGGTGCTGAAGCGCACGAGCATGTCCCGGAGCAGAATGTTACCCTTCCTGAGCCGGTGCTGGCAAAGGGAGATGGCGGCCGGTCATCGCGAGACCCGGTTCGACGCCCCGAATCACTCGACCTACCCACCTCGACCGCAACGCCAGAACTGTCCCGGAATCAGTCGCAGACCACCCTGGTGCGAGTTCCAGGGATAGTTGCTAATACAGAAACGAAGGAAGAGTCGCGACCAGAACAACTTGCTCCTCGAATTAGGAAGCTCATCGCCCCGACGGTATACGGCCTGATCTTCCTGGTGTCCATCCCAGTATTCTACACAACGTCCCAGTCACTGCCCCTCTTTCTCAGCTGGAACATTCTCATGTTCATCTTCTCTGCCGAAGCCATACCTACGCGAGTTCGTAGGGTTATGCATCCGATCTTGACCTGCAGCGTCTTCTCCGTTCTCGGATTGTGGGCCATGGGCGCGATCCGGGGATGGTCTATATTCGAGTCGCTGGACCATTACTCCACCGGCACCAAATATCTGCAACTCTTCGATCCCAAGGGGCAGACGCATTTACCACCGCCTGGCGCAGGAGACGTCCTCACGTCCGTCCTCGACGCTTCAATCGTCAGCTTGGCAATACCGATGTATCGTTACCGGGCTGAGATGGTGAGTATCGAACCTACGTCGATGGTACGATCGAACTAACGACCTTTCAGAGGCGATATTGGTTCGAAATGCTCTTCACCGTGCTGCCACTGTCATTGCTATCGGTTTTCATCTACCCTCTGGTATCCCGTGCAATTCTGATCTCACCATCCCGAGCCCTCGCATTCGCTGCGCGTAGCGTAAGCACCACCTCCCTCACGAAGCCCGAGGTCTCCGTCTAACCCCTTCCACGTCCAGGTCACCACTCCTCTCGTAAGTCGATATCTCGCCGCGAGTCAACGTCAACGATCCAAGGCACTAAGTACTTTTCCCCCGTGCCATCACAGGCTATCCCGATGGAAGCATCACTCCAGGGCGACTCGGGTTTCACGGTCCTGCTCTGCATCTTCACTGGGATCCTCGGCGCCATCGCCGGGCCCCAGATGCTTCGCGTTCTCCGTGTGAAGGTGCGCACCCGCCCTTCCATCCGAGGGAGTGTGGATTTCTGTAGAGAGAACTGACAACATAAGCCATCCAGGACTCAGACTTCATCACCATCGGTCAGTCCCCCGTTCTCTGCCATCGCCACCGCGATAATTTTTACTGACCGACATGACGTCGCGAAACGTGATAAGGCGTGGTACTAGGCTGCACGGCGTCCGCGATATCGACCGCGGCGTTGCTCGGGACGAACCCGCGCGCGGCGGCGATCTCGTCCCTCGCCTTTGTTCTCTACGGGATTAGCTGCATCATCCTGACGAGCATCCCTCCCGTCGTACGTGATCGTCGGAACCCGGCTACTCACGCAAGCTGACGGGGGTTCACCCCTTCCCCCCGCCTTTTCCCTTTCCCAGGTTAGCGTGGTACAGATGCTCGCCGGGCTGCGCTGACGACGGCGGGGGGGGGGGGGGGGGGGGG